GCACATGATACGCTAATTCAAGACAAAATTATTTTTATGGTTTAATACAAAGGTTTTCAAGGTGGGGTGTGCAACTCTCCAGGAGATTACACAAATTTGACTGAAGCAGTTTGCATGTTTTGCCAGGCTTGTTCATGCAAAGCAAAGAATGCTAATAAGATTTGCCCTTACCTTGCCTGGGCAAGCCAGCAACAAATTATTTTTTTTTATAGTTTTGGTAGTAAGCTGCAAATATAAGTGAGAAGTGAGTGGCTGTCCCAAAAATAGAAATGGAATTCCAAAGAATTTCATCTTCCTCAGAATTATGCAAAATTAAGTAAGTCATTCTCATTAAAATATAGTTTTAAAGTAGATGTTTAATGACTTCCAAAGAAAAGATTTTTAATTTGTATCATAATTAGGTGATTGTGGGGCTTCAGATTTTGACAATCCAGGCTTAGTGGTTTGTGTAAACTCATCCACTATTAGTATTAGCTGGGAGTTTCTCAACAGACCTATGTCTGCGCCCAGTTTCTTTTTTTCTCTCTACTACAATCTGATGCTTCCAAGTAATAGTTGCAAGAACATAGAATTTGTTGATAATGGCACCAGCTCAGACCATAAGCCTGTAAGGAAAATATATAAATCTAAAACTGCATTTTGAAATTGTGTTAAATAGAAGTTTAAGACTGTACAAAGCATGTTAAAATTCATTTCAATATTTTAATGTTTCTGAGGGTTTCTGGTGTTTTATTTTCATCTCTTGTAGTTTAAAAGGAGGGAAATCTTACAAAATGTTAAAATTGTTACAATACAGTTGCATTTATCTTGTAGTGTCCATGGACATTTCTATTTTTATTATTGTGTGGTCTCTGGATAGACTTCCAAATACATGATCAAATTCTGCTTTTTCAAGTATAGGAGATTGCTGACTTAAAAAGCTAGAGGGGTTAGAAATTTTTTTAAAAAATTATCAGAATGACATCTCAAAATATCTCCTTAGTATAAAGAATGGGACATCAGTGTTCCTTTTTAGTCTAATGAAATTTGTTCTGCTTTCTTTAGGTGCTGGAAAAACTACTCTTCTTAATTATATTTTGACTGAACAACATAGCAAGAGAATAGCAGTTATTTTAAATGAATTTGGTGAAGGTATGTAAAAATGCAAGTGTGAGTGGAAAATAAGGTTTCATGTTGAAGCCTAACTGTTTACTTTCAAAAATGTAAAATATTTTCTTCAATTTATGTTCACATATTTTAACAGTTGTGATGCAAAATTTGCTTTCCAAGTAATATTATGCACTCTTGCTGTAATCTAAAGACTGTGCTTTAAGTTTGTGCTTTTGAATAAGGACATTAGGATACATGAAGTATAGCAACTGAGAAAGTTATTTCCATTTACTGAAGATTGATGCTGCAGGAAAATTAGGGCATGGCCTAATTTTCTGGCTCCTTTAGCATCCCTTTCTCAACAAACCTAACAAAACCGAGTCTTTTATGTAATGGAAGTCAAGATACTTTTCCCATCCAAAACCTGAAATGGATTATTCTTTCACTGTTTTCTTTCAATAAAAGTACTATTTTTATTATAGCTTTTCTTGTTTTCTCAGGCAGTGCGTTGGAAAAATCCTTGGCTATAAGTCAAGGTGGAGAACTCTATGAAGAATGGCTGGAGCTCAGAAATGGCTGCCTTTGCTGCTCAGTAAAGTAAGGATTTTTTATTTGGTAAAATTGCCAATTTAATGTTGAGGATTTCAAAATATAGTCTGCGTTTCTCGTGATGAAAAGGCCAATTATGCTAGGGAAGATCTAGTATTGTAATACAGGTAATCCTTGACTTACAACCACAATTGGGGCAGAATTTCCATTGCTAAGCAATGCAGTTGTTAAGTGAATTGCACCCAATTTTATGATCTGTTTGCCCTAGTCGTTAAGCAAATCCATGCAGTTGTTAAGTGAATCATGGAGTTGTTAAGCGAATCCAACTTAGTAGCTCAATGTTGGAAAACGGATTGTTTGCCCACTATAGAAGATTGGGCATTTAAAGTTTCAAATTTAGCAGAAATGGCTAAGATTTCAGCCTATGTGAAGGATTATCCACAAGAAAGATATATATTGGTTTGGAGAAGATGGATAGATTATATTGAGAATAAATATGGAACTAAAAAGTTTCATTTGGTTTTTG